GAATAGGTACAATTAATATATGGTCAATATCACATTTAACAGTGCAAATGTTTTCCCCTAAAATCTGGAATAAGCCAAAAATGTGTGCTCTCACTACTTCTATTTGTCATCATAGTGAATTTCTTAACAAGGGCACTGAAGACAAGAAATTAATTGGTTGAAAACTGACCAATTTTTTCTAAAAGTTATTAAGGAAATTCAAGGAATGAAATTTATAAAGAAAAGCTAAAATTTATAAAGAAAATCAAATCGGAATACCTAAAAGAGTTCTGAAGATCCAGGTTAGAAGACTCCTACATCTTAAACACTCAGTACAAAGCTCCAGTAATCAAGATGTTATAATACTGACAAAGGTGTAAACACAGAGATCAACAGAACAGTGCAAAAACAGACACACATATTTGATCAATTGGTTTTTGCCAAAAGCACAGAATGATTATCTTTTCATCCAGTAATGCTAGAAAAACTAGCATAAACTTACATAAAAAATAGAAGAAATTAAGGAACTTTTACCCATCCTCAAAACCTAAACCAAAATTAACCTGAAAAGCATGGTAGATATAAATGTAAAAATTAAAAATAAGAACATTTCTGAAAAAAACAGAAGAAAACCATTACAGTTTTGGTACTAGGCAAATATATTTTAGACAAAACATCAAAAGCAATAACTATAATGAAACAGACTGATTCAAACTCAAAAGTGTACCTTTAAAATATAGCATTAATAAAAGGAGAGAAAACAATTGTAAAATGCATGTCTAATGATGGACTAGTATGCCATATGCCTAAAACACTCAAAACAAACAACAAGAAAACAATTTTTAAACAAGCCAGAAAAGAAAGAAGTGCCAATGTTGTTGGCATAGTAGGTAAATGTACTCCCTGGGATGCTGCCATCCCATATGGGCACTGGTTTGAATCCCAGCTACTCCACTTTGGCTCCAGTTCCCTTTTAATGGCTTAAGAAAAACATCTTTTATGAGTATTGAGGAGTAAAGCAGCAGAAAGAAGATTCTCTCCTTCCTCCCTTCCCTCACTCTCTCTCTGGCAGTGGTTACACAACTATACAATTTGTCACAAATCAACTGTACACCAGAATACTTTTGCTGGAGGTAAATCACAATAAACCTGGCTTTCAGAAAAAGAGGGCTTGAGTGTTTACTAAAGACACAGACCTCATCCAGGCCAAGGAAGGAGAGCCTCTTACAGAGGAGTAGGGATTTGTCTTAACAATGTGATGATGCTAGTGGGTTAAAGATTTGCCAGAAGGTAAACAAGTACCAAGAAGATAAGCATGCAGCAGAGGGAACAGTAAACTTAATGTCCAAAGTTGTAAGGATGCACGAGGACACTTCAGCAACTTTACTGGAACTGAAATGAAGTTTATTTTAGTGCACAATCATTCTGAAATCCAGACATATCTTAAGCATCACAGAGAATACGTACTTTGAACAAATGTACATGAAGTTCCACCATGCAAATTGTTCCACTAGCATAGCTGTGACTTCTGTTAACCTCAGCACACACCACAGTGGTTTACATCACTGTTACCTGATGTTTTACTGCGGAACTACTCTATTTTCCCAAAGGGTACAGGGTAATGTTGTACTTAAAAAAGAAAGTGAGAGAATGAACCCAGGAACTCCATAAGCAGGAAATCTATACTATTTTCCTCAAAGGAGTGAATCTTTTAATATGCATGTTAACTCAACATTTCACGTTTTAGAAACAAATTCGAGTAAACAAAATAGCTAATTCCACATTCCAAAAAAGGACTAATATCTAGACTGAAGCACTCTTTCTTTTATAGTTAGATTCCCAATGATGTGAAGTCTCGACAAGATGAAGTTACCAGGGTACAGTCATTTGGCGACATCACTCACGCCGCTGCCTGGTGTGCCTGAATGGGTTCGCGTCCCACCGCACTCCTGATTAAAACTTCCTGCTAATGTGCACCCCAGGAAAACCCAGATGATGACTCAGGTCCTATCACACACGTGCACACGTGGGAGATTCTGGCTGAGTTCTAAGATCCTGACTTCAGTGCTAACCCAGCCTTTAGCCGTTGCTTGTATTTGGAAGTGAACCAGAAGCCGGCAGAAAGCTGTCTCCTAGCCTTTCAATACATAGCTCTTTAAAGAGATAAAGCTGCTATCTAAATGTATTTTGTCCCGAATAGTTTTAGTTAATGACATGAGAACAACCAGTACCTTACAGCCCAGGTTATTGCAGTTAAAATGTCTCCCACTCTACAGTGGTTTAAAGGACATTCATTAAACAGAGTGGATGGGATCTGTAGAACATGCCTGTTTTGGCAAGAACAAGCTACACGATTACAATATGAAGCCCAGGATACAGCTGTTGGTGACTAAGCCTAGGAGCCCTGAGTAAGTGCTGTGTGAGCAAGACACATCCCTGCACATCTGTTTCCTGTTTCCATCCTTCCCTTTATCATTTGATCCCGATTTCCTTTCACCTGCAGGCCACCAAGGCAAACCATAAGTCAGTCAGTCTTGTGATTAACTCTTTCCTTCCATGACTTCTTCAGGGTAGCTTAGTCACTGCACACGGAGGGGCTAGAGTGGGGCAGCCAGGGGCGATCTAAAGTACACTGTTGACTTCTCTCTAACTTCCCATGAAGAATTTTTCTTATAGAGGTGGTACCAGTCCCTGTATAGTACTGAACCACAAAGGGCAGCATAAATAAGGCAGCACAGTAACAGCCAGTATGATGGCGGCACACATTCCAATACATAGAAACTTCTCTCTCATGACTGTTCCCCCACTGCAGAGCCATATAGAAGGAGATTGTTTACATTTAAGGAAGCTCATTTCTACATACACAGACTAAGGCCAAAGACGTGTTCTTCAGCCTGAGGCAACTTCTCTATCAGCAAGGAATCACACCTACTGAAACAGACTTCAAAGGTCATTTTACATAAGCCTTGTAGATAGCAAAGACTGCCACTGTACTTCATACAGTTTAAGAAAGGTGGAATAACTTGTCTAACAGATTCCATTTCAAATGGCTTAGTAGTAGGGAGCATAGTTTAAACATGCTGAGAGTAAGTAACCAGAAAAAAAGCCTTTAAAATAGTTTTGATGTAATAAGCCAGATCAAAACAGTATATATGATATATTGCCTTTGGCCATTTTTGTTTATAATAATTATATAATATTAACTACATTCATATTTTAAGACTGCATAATTATTTTTTTAATTGTGGGTTTTGTCACATTGACAGAAAGTTTGGAGGAACATTTCTCAGCTGTCATTTGAAAAAAAATGTAGTCAATTCCTGCCTCAGTGGTGTAGAAGTTGATGAAAATATATTTTCTTTGCATCTTAGCATTATTTCTTGCTACCTTCATGACATCAAAATACCTCAAACAGTGATCTCAAAGATAACTCTTTATGTACTTAGCACAGAAGATATAAGGTATCTTTAGGGTCAAAAATTTTAGGAGAAGTAGGCACAGAAAAATGTAACTGCCTCCTTTCAGGTGGTTTTGTTGCTGGAGTCTGTGTTTCTAATTGCTGGGGTTCATATCTTGTGACCATGAATTGGGAGGACAAGAAAGGAAGAACATAGAAAAAAAAAGTTAAGGAACCAGAAGCATAAGGAATGTCTCCCAGCAGCACCTTAAAGGGTACCTGAAGAAGGGAGCCATTGAGGACTGATTTTGTAGGGATTTTACAGCTTGTAAAAGAAGTTCTTGATTGGTCACAATTGGTTAACTGAGTAAATGCTCCAGTCAAGACTCAACAGACACAACAAAAAATAGATGAAACTCCCTACCACATCAAGGTGTATAAGTTTTTTTTTTTTTAATCAGTTAGTTACAGCAATTCAAAAAATTCTTAATTACAAGGGCTAACACATGACACCCACATTCTCAACAGGAGCCTGCTCTGCACTTTGTTCAGGCCTTTTGAGACTCACCTTCAGGTAAAACAGAGAGGCCCCTATCAGTGTCTACCTAGCAAAGATTTTATCCATTTCCTGTGCTTTGTCACTCTGCTGACATGAAAACATTTTGCATACCAAGACTGAGCTAACCAATTTATTGACTATTCTGTAACTTGATAAATGTGGTGCTCCAGAATGGTAGGCATGGAATCAAAGAATCCTGTGCTAACACACAGTCTTTCTGTGTACTTGGCAGGCAGTGGCCCACAGTGGCCAGAACTGGGCTGCAGCAAAACCAGGAACCATAAACTGTCCCCAGGGACCACACAAGCCACCGCCACCTGCTTCCCAGGATCTGGAATCAGGAGCCAGAACTGAGCATCAAACCCAAATCATCCCATGTCGTACAAGCTAAGCCAATCACCCACACTTGTTGAGAAGTTTATACTTTGAGAAAATAAAGAACCAGGAATCATCTTATCTTAGAATTATGAATTACGAATTATTCAAGATCAGTCTTTAATTATAATAGTTGCTGAATCTTCTATATTAACTGAGTTTAATTTTCACATTACCAATTGTTGTTATATCATATGTAATCACTGAATAATATTTCAAAAAACATTTCAAATGACCAAAATGCAAAGATCTACAACATCTTAGATAAGTAAACTTGCATCAGTTTGAATCAGAACTTCAAGTGTTACTTGATTACTATGATATAATCACGGGGTTAAGAAAATAAATTCACGTGGAATTTGTTTCTCTAACATCCCATGTTGCTTGTAATTGTGCTACTTGGAAGCTATTCACAACCCTAAACCTTCCTCTTATATTCCTGATTACAGAGGCCAAGAGTCTGCCACCCTGTTGCCAGGCAGTACTACTGATCAGTTCATGAGCATGTGCGCCAATCTTGGCTGACTACACAGATCAGACCCCTATGTGAGGGTAGCTTCATTCTAACAATAGAGGAGGCTTACAGGAAAAAATCATATAGTTTTGTGGTCTGCAATGGTGAAAACCTTCCCCCAACAGGCCCTAGGGAATTTGCATCTTTGAAACATAACACACAGAACCAATTCTTCATGCAGTCCTTCCTGTAATTTTAATTTTACATGAAAAGGAAAAAGTGATTACTGCATTGAAAAATGACATCAACATCTTAAGAATTGTTCATCAGTAAAGTACAGTGATAATTCTGTATGATTTAGTCTCTTTTCTGATGCTCTCTCCACACTCTGCTTTCTTGGAAGGGAATTCAAGAGCAGTTTCTTCATCTGTAGGTTTCAGCATTCACTTATCTGCCAGATTTACTTCCCATCCAGGGGCAAGGCCAAAGAAAATCTGCCTTGGGTCCTTTCATGTATCAGGCATTTTCAAGAGGTCACCATTAGTGATATCAGGTAAGGTAACAGCCATACTTCCTGGCGAGTTCACGTCTTGCCTCAGGGAACTTGGCAGAATCGGCAAGGTAACCGTGGTAAGGCACGAGTACTTCAGCTGGAAGCATCCACTCTGGAATCGGCTGTCCGCACATAAAGACCAGAACAGGCTTGCAGAGAATTAAAAAAAAAAAAAAAAAAGTAGATAAAAGAGATGCAAATATTGGCTTTTAAATATAATGACTAGTAAATAAACAAATGATTATTAAATACTTATTCAAATGTTTATTTTCATCTACATGAAAGGCAGAACTACATAAAGAGCAATCTTCAACCATTGGTTAACTTCCCCAGTGCCCACAGGGGCCAGAGTTAGCAAGGTTGAAGCCAGGAGCACAGAACTCCACCCTAAGTGGGCAGCAGGGCTCCATGCATGTGGAATCCACTGCTGCATTCCCCATGCACTATAGCAGGGAGCAGAATCAAAAACACAGCAGCTGGCACTCAATATGGCAATTACTTATGGCAATTAAATATTTTTAGGAATTTTTTATTTCAGGGTTCTCTTTGTTTTTCCTGGGAACACATATTACCAAATTGGTGAGTTCTGAGCCAAATCATCAAAAGCTCTGCTTACTGAAAATATGAAATCCAGAAAAGATGAACCACTTTACACCACCAGAGGGGATGTGTGGCCCACTCCTCAGTCACTGCCCTGGGCCAGCATTTCCAGGACTAAGGACTCTGGGATGTGCAGTTTAACGCTGATACGGTGATGGATTTTCCCTCACTTGCATTAAGTTACACTTGCATTTCTTCAGATAGCTGGAGTACACAAATGAGATATAGTATTATGGTTTTGATATTCTCTTTTCTAAGTTATTTCCTTTGGAAAGCTTATATAGAGCCATCCAAGAAGCTTTCCCATGCTTCCCTCTAGTGGACAGAAACTTACCTGCACAGTGATATAGAAGCAGCAGTAAAACACTTCCTTTTCAACTCCTAATTCTTACAAACAGAACATGTCTTTCCTGCAGTTGCAAGGGGAGCTGATCCATTCTTTCCATAAATATACTCTGAGTGCAATGAGATGAGATTTCCAACATTGAAAATAAAGCAATGAATGAAAGCACCTGCCCTCAAGGGAGCATACACTATAGCAAGGAAACAATGAAACAGAAAAGTACAACCTGGAAGTCAGTGTCCCAGGCTCTTGTATAGTCCAACCAAAGTGCTCTGAGCAGGATCAAGCAGAATGTGACTGTGGGGTGGGTGAAGTGCTCTCCCACAGAAAGCTGTGAAAGGAGACTCTTCCTATACAAGCATCTGAGCAGAGAACCAGAGGGAGGGAGGAGCAAGCTGCTGGGGACCTGGGGAGAGAGCCCCTGACAGCACACTGGCTTTTCAAAACCACACCTGGGGATAATGTGAGCATGGCAGAATGCTTGCGAATGAACACAGCTCACAGAAGAAAACTAAGGGCAGAGCCTTGAGTTAGGCAATCAGGAAACACCTTGCAAGTAACATGCAAAGAGCTAAGCCAGACTTACCTCCTCTACTAGCTGGACACCATAATCCCTTTTAAGTGGCTGGATGGTCACACCTCTCCCATTGACAAGCTGTGTTAAGTCAATAGGTTGTGTAGGGTCCACTCGTCCCAAATCTATCAGATACTGCAGTCTACTGAGACTCAGAGGCTGATACTGGCGTCTGAAGCTACAAAATAACAACACGACAGTTAGAAACCTAGTTCCTATAGCCTCTGTAAATCAGCTCAAAGTTTTGTCCTGTGGGGTTTTTTTTCCATGATGTTTGACAGTTTGGCAAAATAAAACCCTCCTGGCTATAACATATGTAATACGGCTAAACATGGAATAATGAAACAAAGCCAGGAGTTCCTTTTGTTCCACCAGAAGCAGGTGTTGATGCATTTACTTCACTCATTTGCACAAATAAGCAGGTTTCACCTATTTTTTTTTCCAGCATGTATTAATGAGTTCAAAGTAATAACAATAATAAATAAGTCATTTCTAAAAACTAATAACAGTGGTTCCATTTATTGAGTGACTGAGCATTAAGAGTGCTGGAAGATACAAATTTACTGTGACAGAGTAATCAGTGGTTCCATGGGAGCATAGCATAGCAGGGAAGACACAGGATAGAATGCAAAATAAACCAAAAAAATATGTGCGTATGTGACAGAGATAAATACGTGGCCCATTGTTTGAATTGTGATGACAAAATCATCAAACTATATACACTAAATATGTACAGTTTAGTGTATATCAATTACATTGCACAAAACTTGAAAGCAAACAAGATTTGAAGCTCATAAAAGCTATAATTTGCTAAAATTTTCAAAAAATCATTAATATAGTTTGAAATCTGCTCAAGGTGGTATGTTATACATTGTTCATACCTTTTACTAGTACTTCATTCTATGAATATAACACACTGTATTGATATATTCCTCCGTTGATGAGTATCCAGGTCAATTCCAGTTTTGTATTTCACAAAGGGCACTGGTACTAATACCACTACATGGAAACATCATGGTGCTCTAAACAACCTGTGTCAGAGTCCTGTTCTAGTCCTAACTGCTCCATGACCAATCCAATTTCCTTCTAATAGTTCAGGGAAGGTGGTGAAAGATTAGTGAAAGACTTGGATCCCTGGATCATGGTTTCTCTCCCTGCCACTAGACCTTTCAAAAAATAAATGAGGCCCGGCGCCGTGGCGCAAGTGGTTAAGGTCCTCGCCTTGCACCTGGGATCCCATATGGGCGCCAGTTCTAATCCCAGCAGCCCCGCTTCCCTTCCAGCTCCCTGCCTGTGGCCCGGGAAAGCAGTTGAGGACAGCCCAAAGCTTTGGGACCCTGCACCCACGTGGGAGACCAGAAGAGGCTCCTGGCTTCAGATCGGCATAGTATCGACCGTTGTGCTCACTTGGGGAGTGAATCATCGGATGGAAGATCCTCCCCTCTGTCTCTCCTCTCTGTATATCCACCTTTCCAATTAAAAAAAAATAATAAAAATAAATCTTTTTAAAAAAATAAATGAATCTTTAAAAATATTCCCATGTCCAACACAACATATATATGTGTTTCTCTGGAAAAACACATCAGATAGCAGAGATTTGTTATGAGGAATTAACTTATGTAGTTGCCAAGTCCGAGACAGGCCACCATCTGCCACTTATGCTGCAGATGCAAGACAACTGATGTAATGCCAGTCTGAATCCGAAACCCTAAGTACCAGACCACCAGAAGTATCAAACCCAGTCCAAAGGAGAAAAATAAGGTTCAGCTCAGACAAGCAGGAGGAAGGGGTGAATTCTGCCTTACTCTACTCTTTGTTCTTCCACAGATTTATGCCCAACCACTTTGACGATAGCAATGCATTTTACTAATTCCACTGACTCAAAGTCTAATCTCATCCAGAAACAGCCACACAAACAAAGAAATAATGCTTAATCTGGAAATTCTATGATCCATGAGACTGACCACTAAGATTAATTATCATAGCAAAATTTCCAAAACCTGAGTTGTATGGTCTTTGCTATGTATATTACTAGCCTCGCCAGAAATTCCCAAAATGGGCTAGATAACCCCAAAAGAGTTTTTCCAATTTTAATCTCTCATCAGCACTGTGTAGACACAAGGAAGACCTGAGCTAGACTAAATGATATCATTCACTGCACATTGGCATATGCAAAAACTGGGGTTACAGGACATGCCTGACTGGATTAGGACAGTTCCTACCCACAAATGTTACAACACGGGGTGGGAATATCTCAGGGCAGGCCATGGCACCCACCAGAACATAAGAGAACCGGATATGGGAACAAATTATATAGGGTTGTGTGAGTTTGCATCTATGGAACTTTAACATATGACACTTTACTAGAAAAGCTGGGGCTGGTGTACCCAACTTCATTTTCAAAATATTCCATCATGGTAGGCATTGACACCTTAACATCATTATATGCCTCAACTTAAAGAAAGGGAAGAGTGTGGGATATTACATGATGGACAGGTATCACAACAATGCACCTTTACCCACCACATATTATGAGATACAAAACACACTATCACATACCCACGTAGATCTTCGTGGAGAGATCTTGAGTAAAAATATCCTCAACAGGTGCAAGCCTCGTTGTGTCATAAGTGGATGCTGGGCAATAGCTGTGCAAACTCACAAGAAGGCCCACTCAGGACTAGCGGTGGCAGTAGGCTACAGCAGGGCAAATCTGAGCACAGTCAAGAAGCCAATGGGTTGGTCATCAGTGCCAAGAAGACATTAGTTTCTGTACAGGCTCACAGAGAAAGGAGGGGACAAGGCGATCAAGGCATGGACCTTGCAATCTTCAACTTACCAACTTCATCTTATTATTCCATTATGGAATGCATTCAAACCTTAACATCGACAGGTGCCTCTACTTCCAGAAAAGACCCTGACGAGGCAGCACATTTAGTATGTGGAATATTACAACCAAACATATCCATCATGATGATACAAATTGCCCCACAAGATATTATGACATAATGTACACAGTACCTGAACTCCTACCTGGGTCTTCTTTGGTGGCTCCTAGACTAAATTCCGGGAATGAGTGCAAGCTGTCTTTCGTTGCTAAGTACATGCTGATCTGGGGCTGTGGCCACCATCCAAGGAAGTGACCCTAAGGAGAAGCCAGCAACTTGGAGCACAGCCAGCAAGCCAATGGGTTGGTCACCAGTGCCAGGCAGGACACAGGTTGCCATCCAGGCTCACAGAGGAGGAACGGAGTGAGGCCTTCCAGGCATGGACCTGGCTATCTTCATCTCTCCAATTTCATCTTCTCAATGCTCCATCATGGTAGGCATTCACTCCTTAGCATCAACGGGTGCCTCTACTTCCAGAAGGCAGTACATATATGGTGTGGAATATTACAACAAAAGATACCCATAACAATGATGCAACTACCCCCACAACATACTTTGAGATACAATGCATAATATCCCAACCCCCATCTTCTTTGGTGGCTCCTGGGCTAAAGTCTCTGAGATATGCAGGCTTCACTTCATCGCTAAGTGCATGGTGAATTGTGCTCTTGACCACCATCCAAAGAACCCACTTGAGGAGGCGGGGGTATCTCCAAGCACAGCCAGCAAGCCAATGGGTTGGTCACCAGTGCCAGGCAGGACACAGGTTTCCGTCCAGGCTCACAGAGGAGGAACGAGTGAGGCCTTCCAGGCATGGACCTGGCTATCTTCATCTTCCCAATTTCATCTTCTCAATGCTCCATCATGGTAGGCATTCACTCCTTAGCATCAACGGGTGCCTCTACTTCCAGAAAGGGCCTTGGGAAGGCAGAACATGTAGGATGTGGAGTATTACAACAAAAGATACCCATAACAATGATGCAACTACCCCCACAACATACTATGAGATACAATGCACAATATCCCAACCCTCTACCCCCATCTTCCTTGGTGGCTCCTGGGCTAAAGTCTCTCAGTTGCAGGCTTCATTTTATCGCTAAGTGCATGGTGATTTGTGATCTTGACCACCATCCAAGGAAACCACTTGAAGAGGTTTGGGCATCTCTGAGCACAGCCAGCAAGCCAAAGGGTTGGTCACCAGTGCCAGGCAGGACACAGGTTGCTATCCAGGCTCACAGAGGAGGAACAGAGTGAGGCCTTCCAGGCGTGGACCTGGCTATCTTCATCTTCCCAATTTCATCTTCTCAATGCTCCATCATGGTAGGCATCACTCCTTAGCATCAACGGGTGCCTCTACTTCCAGAAAAGACCCTGGCAAGGCAGTACATATATGGTGTGGAACATTACAACAAGATACCCATAACAATGATGCAACTACCCCCATAACATACTATGTGATACAATGCACAATATCCCAACCCCCCTCTTCCTTGGTGGCTCCTGGGCTAAAGTCTCTCAGTTGCAGGCTTCACTTCATCGCTAAGTGCATGGTGAATTGTGCTTTTGACCACCATCCAAAGAACCCACTTGAGGAGGCGGGGGTATCTCCAAGCACAGCCAGCAAGCCAATGGGTTGGTCACCAGTGCCAGGCAGGACACAGGTTGCTATCCAGGCTCACAGAGGAGGAACGAGTGAGGCCTTCCAGGCATGAACCTGGCTATCTTCATCTTCCCAATTTCATCTTCTCAATGCTCCATCATGGTAGGCATTCACACCATAACATTGACAGGTGCCTCTACTTCCAGAAAAGTCCCTGGCGAGGCAGCACATTTAGTATGTGGAATATTACAACCAAACATATCCATCACAATGATGCAAATTGCCCCACAAGATATTATGACATACAGTTCACAGTACCTGAACTCCTACCTGGGTCTTCTTTGGTGGCTCCTAGACTAAATTCCGGGAATGAGTGCAAGCTGTCTTTCATTGCTAAGTATATAGTGATCTGGGGCTGTGGCCACCATCCAAGGAAGTGACCCTAAGGAGAAGCCAGCAACTTGGAGCACAGCCAGCAAGCCAATGGGTTGGTCACCAGTGCCAGGCAGGACACAGGTTGCCATTCAGGCTCACAGAGGAGGAACAGAGTGAGGCCTTCCAGGCAAGGACATAGCTATCTTCATCTCTCCAATTTCATCTTCTCAATGCTCCATCATGGTAGGCATTCACTCCTTAACACTGACAGGTGCCTCAACTTCCAGAAAGGGCCTTGGGAAGGCAGTATACATCAGGTGTGGAATATTACAGCAAAATGTACCCATGCAACTTCTCCCAGAACATGTTATGAAATACAATACACAATATCCCAACTTCCATCTGATCTTGTTAGGTGATCTCCTATTAAACTCTCTCGACGACTGCAAGGCTTCTGTAA